GTTGTTGGGTACACTTTACACACTTAGTTGATTTTGTATTAGTACACTGGTTTAGTACGGGTGAGTGCCGTTTGTCTTGTATGGTTTTGGGTAGTCAGTGCAGGTTTGCTAGGGTTTTGAAGACGCCGAAGACCGTGTGTTTCGGGTTTTCTTTTGTAGTCAGATTAGCTTTCCCTCACTGTCCTAGCCAGCTCCATTTTGTTTATTTTCTTTCCTTTGGCACCACTCTAGTTCCTTACCCTTGTTATCACGCTTCCTAGTCCCTCACCAAAACCCACCTGCTTCCAAAAGAATTATCCTAAATGTTACACCCTTTTACCCCTAGACACTTGGGGTTGTAACAATAATCGAAATGGGAAATTATAACACATAGGCACATATAACACTGTACATACAGGTACTAGGCAAAATAAATGGAAATAGGTAAGTAATACTGAAAGAAAGGATTAATTAACATCAATTAAATAAATAAATAACATAACATCATGATTAGATGTCATATACTGTATTTAAATACTGCGCTAGCTTGGTTGTCTATAATATGTGGATTAATTTGAAATGCAAGAGCAGCAAGTATGAGCAGAAACAGTCTACACAGACCTCCACAGAGCAGGACACCATGATGAGAATGCATGTGTGTGATCACTATACTCTCAAAAAACTGATGTGTGGATGTCTGGCACCAATCTAAAGACCTTAACAGCCCAGAGTTCTTGTCTCCAAAAGTGAGGTATTCTTGTGGTTCTGTAATGTTGTGGGACACATTTTCCTGGCGTGGTTTGGGTTCACTCATTCCCTTGGAAGGCAAGGTCAACCCTATTCTCTACTTAATGGTACTGAGTGATTCCTTCACCAAGTGTTGGAGTATCTCATTCTCTGCAGTATCTCTCCATCACCCTGTGTAAACCAATTGACTTTCTCCTGGGAGAGTCCTGCATCCCTCCTGCAGAATTCCAGATTCTGGAAGAGTCTATGCCACAGGTGGCGAATACAGGTGGCCCTGTGCCTTCTTACATGACTTTACATTGGTGCTTCCATTTTGTGGTCGGAACACTACTTAATATGGCACAATAAGATCAAAAATTGAAACTAACATTGCTCTACACATGGAAAAATCTGTAATGCACCAAAATCCTGACAAAATGGGTCCATTTTCCCATTTTTTTTTATTTCCCTTTTTGAAAAGGCCCATTATGCCAGTTAAGATCTTCAAATAATAGACAGACCTTCAAAACTCTAGGGACAACAGGACTGCAGTTTTTCTAACCACTTTCTGGCCCTCTATCTGGTACATTTTAAATCTAGCACAGTAAACTACATGGAAACAACTGCAGTATAGTAACAGTAAATTTAATTAGGAAACAAAGGTTACCAAAACCTTAAATTTATAATATTTTTCTATATGAGCTATATTATAAGGCCAAAACTGAACTGTTCACACAAAGCACTTTTGTTCTGAAACGCTTTGGTCCAGCATCTCTATAACTGTAAGTTAGAAGAAACCTAATTTGCTTCTAGCAAATATATTACTGGGTCACAAGCCACCAAACTATTAGCTGTTAGAAAATAAATGTTTCTTTTAAACAGCTTGAAACGATTAAGTAGCGACTGGTTAATCTTTCACATCACTTCACTAGGAAAAAAACACTACTGTAAGCCTGAAATACTAATCACTCTCATCACAATGTGTAAATGATTATGTATGAAGCTTCACAGCATATTTTATTCAGTTTTTACATTTCTGTAACAAACTTACATTTGCTGTTAAAAAGAATGCAACAACATACTGTATATACCCCACATCATCCATAGTTTAGGTCTGAGAAGTGTACAGGTAAGTACTATTTTCAACCAATAGCTTAGATACTCTTCAATTATAATAATTGAACTTATAATAATTGAAGGCAGAGACATAGATCAACTGCTTTGATAATGTGTGGGGTACCTGATAGTAGTAGTGAAAGGTTCAAATCATTTAAAAGAGTAAGTCAGAAATGGCCTGTGTATCTTTTCTTTTAGATCAATATGGAAGACAGCAACTTTAAGATGATAATGAAGCCAACCTTTCTAAGGCCTGAGAAAAGTTCAGACACAAAATGCTACTAAACTGAGATGATAAAAAGCGAGTAAATATCTCTCAAAATTATGCTTTATAATTACACTTTGAACATGTATGTGTGTGTGTGTGTAGTAAAAAAATATTTTCCCCTCAGAAGATTTGTTCAGAAATTATACAATAATTCATTATGGTTACAAAATATAGTTTTAACAGCTCCATTGTACCTTCCCAATAATCAATTACAACAAAATGAACATACACTACCTGATTGTCTATATTTTCGGCAAAATGTGGAGATTTGTCCTTCAGGAGCATAACAAGATTTTTATACATATCACTTTTTCTTTCATAGTCAGTATCCTCTCCTTCCTTTTTAATGCCCTGTAATTCAGAGAACACAATATGCCCAGATACTTATTATGCAGAAATAACACAGAACCTCTATTAAAACACTAAAAAAACTAAATGTGTCAGGTGTGATTCACATTGTGTCGCAGCAAGCCATTATGAAATAGGCCAGATAATGATCACTCATGTTGACTTCGGATTCCAAAGGTGTAGTATTTCATTTTTAGTGTTTCAAATAGTTCCAATGAACTGACAATTTGACTATACAGCTAGAAGGGACGACACTAATTACCCTGCACTCTCCAGGTGTGTCTAAGGTCTAGACGAAACTGTTACAATATAATAAAATTGGGCACTTCAAATTAGGAGACAATTACAGGAAAATGCAGAATAAGAAAGGATATTCAGGATGGAAAAGGTTTGCCTTGTTAATCAGTTACAGTTTTGAAATGACTCAGACATTAAGGACAATTCTTAACTATCATTAATGGTTTAAACTGCATAGCAAATGCCGGGGGAATATCTTGAAAACACCTCCAAACTTGTTTAAACAGAGAAAATAATTTGGGTCTTCTCTGTGATGCTAAGAAAATAAATACTCATAAACTAATTTTTGGAAAGCTGTTTTATGTAGTAATTGCCCTAAATTGTAACGTTACACGTAAAAGTTTTTTTTTTGTATTTGTTTTATAATATATCATTAAGAAGAAGCTAGATATGTATCCTTTACAAGTATTACCAAACTTTTCAGTTACACATACCTAATATTTTGGAAACACTGTGCATATCATTCATTAAAAGTAATTAAACGCCTGCTGTAAAACATCAGACGAGACATTTAGATTAATTTCCTTGAAAAGCTGCCATATTTCTGCGCAAGGTACACGTCAAACATTATCCCACAGGGCTTTACAATACGACATTAAACATGCTGCTTCTGATAAAATCCAATTTGCAGTGAAAAAAATATAGCCCTCACATTATAACACATTGGGACTTTTGACTGTTAAAATAATAAGCAGCCTTCCAGGATACTAATGTTAATATAACTAATTTTTTTAAAACTGTTTTTAACACAAATGCTTCAGCTTTGTTAACAAAGCAGAAAACCAGGCTAATGAAAAGTGTAATCATTAATAATAACAGTCTCAGAATCAAAATTAACATTTCAAAATGACCATTATATGGTACTTATTCACAGAGAAGCTGAGATCTGTAAACGTTTAATGATGAGAATTCATCAGAATTTATTGTTTTTCTATGCACTAACAGAAATTTGAAAGATTTTTGCAGGATTTGGTCTTCTCATGAAGGTTTTGTAAAGATGTTAGTCCAATGGAGAGGAGTGGAAAAATTCTCTTTTTGATAGAAACAAGGAGTGAATTTTGCCCTCAAGCTTAGTGCTTTGAATGTGGCCTTTAAAGCGATTCTATCAGCACACAAACTTTAATTTTCAAAGGTTTCAGCAAAATGGCTTCTACAAAGTGGCTTTGTAAATATCATGTTATTTCCTGTATAAATAGTGTAGTATTTATTGTCCAGTACTTTAAAAAAGTTTTCATTCATGTTGTGAATTTATCTTGAAATAAGAATTGGGACAAACCGTCTTTATTCTGTTATTTTTTTCCAATAAAATCTTTAGTTAAGCCTCCTGCCAGCTGTTTACTGAGACTGTGCCCTCTTCAATTTGCCCTCATAAGTCATGTGCTACAGCATTGGAATGAGTCTTTCTCTAAGGCTGCTGGATCCTTTTCATTAAAAAGGAACCTGAATTGTATGCAGGACTAGAATCAAAATAATACTGAATCGTTGGCTTGCTGTATCGTCAAGGTCTAACTTCACGACAGTCACAATTATAATTTAAAACACAACATAACACATTAGATGCGCTCACTATGCATGCCTGACAAATAGGGTACCACCTCAACTGCAATACAGCATCTATTCCACACTCTTTGGCTATTAATTTCAGATGCTTTTGTAGCCTCAAAACTACAAAACCTTCAATTAAAATTAAAATTGCAGGAGCTGATGTATACACACTGCAAAAACAGCTGGTGGTTATACACTAACTTTGCGTTAGTTATGTGCTCAGGATTTCTTTCCCCTGCTTCTGTAGTTGTGTAAGCATATAACATCTCATAAACCAACTAGCCAGGTGACATTTGGAGACACTCATTGAACCACACCTACCTTTCAGAGACACAAGAAAAGAGAGAGTTTGCCAGACCCAAAATGCACATCGATTACAGTGCAACTTGGTGAAATTGTGAAACGTGTACATTATACATCAGTGGCTATCAAAAGTCTTCAACCCCCTTGGACTTTCACATTATATTGTGTTACAAATTGGAATTATAATGTATTCAACTGGGAAAAAAAAACTACAGGTTCTAAATTCTACATTCTAAATTCATTATAAATATAAAACAGAAAATGTAAACTCACCCCATTAAGGAAAACACCAGCTGTGCTACATGTGATGTACAATGCATCAGTATCACAGGGTTTAATTATGAGGTAGCAGATTTCTCCATGCACTTGCCTTTTTGGTAGAGTATGGCAACCGTTTGAAAATTCATAATCTACAGTAAAAGAGTTTTTTAGGACGAAAGAAAGCACAGAGAAAAATAACTTATACAAAGTACTGTATTGAAACATTTATACATTTTAACAAATAGACCTTGGATGTATACTACTCAAGGGCATAAATCTTACAATAATCACACTTAGCATTTTTATCTTTGCTTTAAAGACACTGATCATTCAATAATGAAATAATATTAACCAAATATTGCACTTTGATTCTTCACTATGAAAACATCAAACATACTTCTAAAATATGGAATTAGTTTGGTAAGTACAACTAAAATCAATTGTTACTATTTCTGATTTCCAAGACCTGCTTTACTCCCAGAAGCCTCCTGGAATGTAGATGACTGCACCTCAAGCAATGTCTCTCGGCATTTCACAAATAACTACTGTAACATTGTGGACGTTTGTGTAATAGTAGAATCAAAATATGTAAAACACTATTAGACCACTGCAGCTTGCATTACAAAAAAGCTCATTCATATTTTAACATATTAGATACTGTATCTTGCATCTGTTTATGTTATACTATACTTTAAGGTGTTCACTCGTGTTATACAAAACTTGTCAATCCATAAAAAGGAGTTGCATGACTCTAATATGAAGATTTGGCCAGAGGATCTATCAGTACTCAACTAACAAAAAACATTACCAATCACTGCACAACACTTTAAAAAAAATAACTGAGGCGATTTTTTTTTATTTCAGTTATAAATCATCTTTTGAAAACATGCCCCAAATAACACAGCTATAAATTAACTAATTATGGGATATTATGGTAAAATGTAACTATTTTCATAAACGGTTTCAATCTTTCCTAGCAATGGGGACATATTTTTCAAAGGCATGCATTTATCACACAGTGTAGTACACATTTTTATGAACAGTTAATTGTTATAGTACTGTAAATCTGCCCCTTAAGGAGAATAAGAAATTAATTAATCTTTCAGTAAACTAAAATCTGACATACATAATGACTTGCACGTTTTTGAAAGTTGAATACAGGCATTTTGTATTTTAAAATATCCTGTATTAGCCCTATTAGCAATCACTATTTTAAACCAAAAATGTGAAAATAATTCAAACCTGATGTGTATTCAACAGACTTCAACAATCTTTTCTCCCCTTCACCACAGAAGCGTTTCAACAGTTCCACCTCATTCTTTACTGCGGCAGGAGCGAGCCGAACTTCTCTGTTAAAATCAGTTCAATAATTAATTTAAGCAATTTACAATTTAGCAACCAATAAATCCTTTAAAATATATGTTCTCTCCAATACACTGATCATACAACATGTGAGATGTGTTTGTTATTAATCATGTTTATGTAATTAATTTTATTAACTGTGGTAAAAGGCAAAAACAGACAACAAATCGTAGCTGATGATGGAACAGAAATTGGAACACATACTGTGAAATTTGTTTCAGTGAGGTATTCAACAGCTGCATGTCAAGCTGCTGGAGAAGGATGAGCATTTTCATTTTTACTTCAGACTCACTGTCCTTTTTATCTTCTTTCACTTTTTCCAGAAGTCGCAACACTGAAGTATCTTCTCCTTCCACAGTCGCAAAGCTTGGTCCGAGAATGTTTGCGATGGGATCTCTGTTAACTGAAAAGATTAACAGCTTAAAAGATCAACATTAAAAGATTTAGATAGTTTCATCATTTTTTGCAATTTCGGAGTTTTTCAATATTTTAGACAATCATATATGTTGGATATTAATGGAACATTTGTGACTGTAACTAGATTTCATTACCTAGGCTACTGTATAGTTTAGGTACTTAATGAACGTACAGTATATATTATATCTATAAAGTATATGAAGATACTGTATAGTATATTTCAAGATACACTAAGACTGCAGGTGAAAGTGAATTTCCTTTTATAATCCATACAGAAAAGATTTCTCTGAAGCAGTACAAATTAAGTTTAATCTTTTTCATTATGTAAATTATGAATATTTTTCCTGCAGCCATTCAACAAAGGAACCTTCCGAAATGACTGTCATTGCTCAATGAATACAAAATGGTAGAAAGTACTGTACAATACGCAGCTACTTGACTCCTGAGGGACTATACTCTGTCAGCTAAATCCATCATGTCCAGGTCATCCTGATGATGGTGAATAGAAGATTTATTTATATTTTTTTAGACTGGTAAAATAGTTTTTGCATTCTGTTTGTTTAATGTGCTTATTATCCATTTATGCTGCTGAAACTGTTCTGTTATAATACATTGAGATAAACTGGAATGAATATTGTAAATGATGTACAGTATTTTAAGATTACTTTATTTTCCAGAATTATACAGGCATACAGTATGGAAGTACGATTTAAACTTTCTGAGTGTTTTCAATATCAGAATGCTATATTAATGCTTAAGTTTTCTCATTTGCAGTAAGCCATTGCTTACTCATGCGGAGGAACAAGTAATAGGTTTATTCCATGCTGAAAAAAAGAAGAAAGAGAACACAACGTTTCGGCCGTGGAGCCTTCTTCAGGTGTGGGTATTATGAGTAATGATACCATATGGTGGGCATAATGCGTAATTGCTTACTCATTATGAACTTTTACACACCGTCACTAAAATATGCGTCTTCTTTTTAAACAATAACGACTAATTAAAACATGACTGAACCTTCACGGTGCTACACGATGTACTTCTATTCTGCTGCAGTCTTGTCCTGCTCTTCTCGCGGTTGCCCACTCACCTTCAAGGCACGCTCTCACTTCTTTCAGCTGCTTGTCTCGTGCAAACTGCACCACTTTCGAGAGCTGACCAAAGCTGCGCACTCTGATGGATGATGCATGAAGGTGAAGCAGAGGATTCCCATCTAGGTCGGTTTCTTGTGACTTCATTGTAGACCCACTAAAAACCAGAATTGAACAGACTCTGTTTGAAAAGAACTAATAATAATTTAAAAAAAAAAACATTCCATAAGAAACATACCCCACAATTGAAATAAAAATCACAAATCATGGACAATACGGCATGTCAGTTTGTCAACCATGCTTCTGAAACATCACAAGTTGAGTACAGTTTATCTTACATTTTTGGAAAGTGATCAAATTTTCTTATTATCTAGAAATTGCCAGAGAAAATGGTTGTATCGGCATTTACTTTTTCCAACAGTATATTAAATTGCACTTCTGTGTGAGTGCTTTAATCCAGCTTATAATTTCACCCAAGAAAATAATATCAATCTACATAGCACTTGAGATTAGGTTGTCCTTATCAATGAAAAACTAATAAACTGCATTTTTGTGGTTTATTCAACATTTACTATTTGCAACCAAACACAAATGAGAAGTGTGTTCAGAAACTCAGATTGTTAAAGTACAATACTTTTGCATTCTTTCCATTCATACAGCTGTTTTAATGTTGTTTTAATAGTAAAAAACTTTAAGATAACAGAATTTACAGTACTCATGTTGCAAATATTCCGAATTATTATAATACTGCATATAAAATAAAACACCAAATTAATAAGAAAAAGATGAAGAACAAAAAATGTTTTATAAGTGTTTCTTTTTACAGATGCACGCCATGTACATTAAGTCAGGAAATACTAAATTGAACAGTTTAATTGTTCCTTGAAAAAACGTCTTACTTGAACTGTATACATTTCTATGAGATTCAAGACAGAGAATAAAAATTATACAGGAAGCCACAATGACATTTCAACAGCCACCTCCAAGAATAACAATAATCTCATCACCTAATTGTATTTTACGGAAACAACAATTACAATTAATAACAGTAAAGATTATTTCAGAAAATAGCTCTTGACAGCTCAGAAAAAATAAGTTCTGTCTAAAACTAACATTGAAATTACCTGATGTCATAATCTGTTTTAAAATCTGAAGCCTGTAAAGTCGTCACCCATTCAAGAGGCTCCTTAAACACAAGGGCAGCCTCTTCCGGGTGTCTGGCTTGAAACGGCTCCACAAATCGAATGATTTCTTTCAGCAAGGACTCATTCAAAGGTGTGATTTCCAATTTGCCAGTCCCAGAACAAGCTGTTGTCCATTGCGCTGCTCTGGTCAGTGCAATCCCCATGATACGACTACAGATCTGCTCTTCACCTAAAAAGTAATCACAATTATAAATGCCATGCATTCATGAACTTAGTGATTTTACTATATTAACTACACTATATTAATTATATTCACAAATAGCAACAAACACTAACAGTGGAAGAACATCACTATGTGTGAAAAAACCAAATAATGTTAATTAAATGCATAGATAATATAGTATACGACAAAAACCTCACCATACAGTATCTGCATAGGTAGAAATGAGGTGTCTTTTCATTAATCTAATATTAATTAATCTAAAAATAATATGTCATGTTTCTGCGTGGAACTGAAATAGGCAGTTGATTATGGATAGTCTCTTATGTGATACTTTATAGTTCTACAAACTTAATTTACACTTTCTCTTCATTACAATGGGCTCTATATACAAAGAACATAAACTTAGTATCACTGAAATGTTTTCTAAAATGAATGCAATAAAAAGGAAAGCTCTAAAGCAACAGGTAATTGTTTATTTTACAAGTGCTACATATATTTCAGACATTCTTTCTGAATTTGACCACTTATTTGGTAAATGTAGCCTTCAGAAAAATATAATGTGATATATGTAATAATGCTGAGGGAAACACTTTGAATACAGAGCTCAATATCTGTACTGTTTTGGTTCAACTGAGTGAATCAGAACAGGTGTAGCACATTCAAGTCCTCTTTTCATATTTGTAATCGATAACTGGTTTGTTTTACATACTGTACTGCTTTTTATTTAAAAAATCCCAAAGTACTTCACAAAAACGAATAAAAGAATATAAAACTAACCAAAGAAGTAAAGACTTAAAGCATTATTAGATATAATAATTATAATAATTGCTTACACTTATATAGCGCTTTTCTGGACATTCCACTCAAAGTGCTTTATAGGTAATGGGGACTCCCCTCCACCACCACCAATGTGCAGCATCCACCTGGATGATGCGACGGCAGCCATAGTGCGCCAGAACGTTCACCACACATCAGCTCTCAGTGGGGAGGAGAGCAGAGTAATGCAGCCAATTCATAGAGGAGGATTATTAGGAGGCCATGATTGATAAGGGCCAATGGGAAATTTGGCCAGGATGCCAGGGTTACACCCCTACTCTTTTCAAGAAGCATTGGCAAACAGAGTTAGCAAAGTAACATATCACAACACATCATCACAGATGACTGCCTTGATTTTCATGTCGTTCACACAGGAGGCCCTGTATTCATTCAGAACACATAGGCTAGGGAGCTCAAAACAACACAGGTACTTAATCATCAAGCACCTACGTGTTTTGCCTACAAGTCCCAGGCTGTGTATTTGAACTGAACATCCAGAGACAAATTGTCTCAAACTCTTTTTAGAAAACGCACGGCCAAACTATGCGAGAGAGGACCAAAAACACTAAAATCTACTGTGCCACACAGTAGATCAAATAAAGTGATCAGCAGGAAGACAGACCTATGACACCCCGTCCGAATCCCAAGGAGATATTAAATGGGTTCAGATCTGGGGAGCTGTGTGGAGTTTGCATGTTCTCCCTGGCTTCGTGGGTTTTTTTCCGGGTGCCTCCCACAGTCCAAAACATATTGATAGTTTTGGGGGGGTTTCTAGGAAAACTGGCCGTGCTGTGAGTGTGTGAGTGTCTGCCTGTGTGCCCTGTGATGGACTTGTGTCCCGTCCAGGGTGTACCATTCACTGCCAGGATAGGCTCCAGCTCCCCCACAGCCCTGTACTGGAAGAACCGGTTAGTAAATGGATGGACATAAAACAGCCTCCTATAACCTTGCATGAAGAGGACCAGGCTGACTGCGATTTGGAGTGTCCCTCATCGGAGCAGAGAAGGCTGAGTGGAGTGGCACACTGTACCAGAAACCTACAGTTCTCTTTGTCTCTTTTCATATTCTTCCCTTTTGAGTGCTGTTGATGACCACTTTATTTCCAAACTTATCACCATCACATAGTATCATATATACTTCTCTATGCTTAGATGATCCTTGAGTTATTTCATATCCTACCTACAACTCTGAATAGTTTCTGCATAAAACATCCGGATCAGACCTGTAAACACAGAACTTACATCACTCGGGCAGGTTTTATTTTCAGCATGTCAAAAAATGGTTACTAAATATTTTAATTTTAGTATCAGAAATATTTAGTGCGCAACAGAGCTAATATGCCCCGTCTGTGTATTTTCTTCACATTAGGCACACGAAGAATCAGTATTACCACAATCTTCAGGTGAGCAGGTACTGTATAGCAGGCATTACACAAAAATGTACTGAAGCTACTACATATTTTGAGAGCCTTTCCAACGTATACGTCGCCATTCCTCCGGGATTATACTGGAACTATTTCATTGATAAAGCATAAATTAAGGTAGACTGAAAGATATGGAACAGTTTCACTTTCACCTAGCCAGAAAACATTTAGAGACAGCTTGTGGACAACACTCACTTCTCTGCAACGTAAATTTCACTTTTTTTTTTCACAAAGCAGTGTAACATCCCCAGTACTGACATCACGCTCAGAAATATCACCATGCCATTTTAGGTATCCAGATAAAATAGGATCACTTACATGAAGCACACTAAAGCCACGTCGGAACAAGAACATGTATACATCTCCCATCTGTATATCTTTTTACGTCATTACTTTAAGATACTTACTTTTTTCACTCTTACCTTAAGTAGAAAGCGACTTGTACCAGTTTCCAACACGCCGCACGCAGTAAGTTACCTTACTAGTCAGTTACCGCGTTACCATGGAAACCCGCACGCGCAGTAAGAGTGAGCTCCTTGTTGCTAGGTTACTACCAAACAACGAGTGCCCGGAGCGAACAAAATACGGAAGAGGACCGAGCTGGACGTTCTATCACGTCACCTCGCGTTCAGAACTTTCCGTATTTTAAAATCCAAAAAGTCAAAAATATACAGTTTAAAAACGACAAGAGGTGAAAGGAGTAATTCTACTCTTTCACTTAGATAACATTTCAGTGACAGAGAGATATCAGAAAATTAAAAAAGACAAATATGCACCAACGTGAGAAGGGAGTGAGTTAATAACAGGAGTTAAAACTAGGGTTGGGAGATCCTCTTACCAAAAAGGCAATGTTAAAAATACATTGACAAGGACACATACAGTATTTGAGAGACAGTGGAGGACACCAATAACAAGGGCACTAAAGTAAACATCCAAACCACATTTACATGAACAATAATGCCACAATAATGAGAGCGTATGAACCCTTAGAAGTGAGAGGAGGCCATGTGGCCCATCAATCCCATTGGGTCATTAGTATTTAATTGACCCAAGGACCTCATCCAGCAATCATCTAACTTCTCTTCTTTCTACTGAGGTTTGTTATTTTTGACTCCTCAATACTGTTATAGCTTTGGGCGACTGAGAAGTGTCTCTTAGATTTTAGATAAAGTTTGTGACACTGGGAAGAGTAAACACTTACTGTAAGTGTGGATAAATGATTGACAAGGAGCGGGACAAAAGGACACAGTATAAATTCAGATTAAGAGCACAGGAGAGGAGAAGAGGTGAAACAAGAGGCAGAAACGAAGAGAGGAAGAAGGAAGAGACAAGAAGAGACAAGGAGAGCAGGGAGAAGAGAGAGGAGCCCAGAGGAGTTGGTACTTGAAGCTTATGCCAGGCGAGAGCCCCTACTACTTGATCATCCAAACCAAACCTGACTGCAGCGTTTATTTGAACCTTATTACTGTAGATCGTGCTCTTCTGTGTGTTTAGGGAACTTGGGTTTCCTGGGTAAAAGATACCTCAGTTAGAAACATCTTTCCTGATTAGGTGCATTTTATGGCTAGAGATATAGGCTTCCATTTATTTTGTGGCATCCAGGGTGCAGAGAGAGAGATTTAACTGCAGGTTGCTTTGTATTTATTTAAAAGTCAGCTCCTCTCTTTTGTGGCCTCTGAAGGCTTATTAAGAGTTTTGTCCTTAGTAGCAGTCTGGGTTTTTTCTGGGTTACATTGTATATAATGTAACTTTGTGTGTTGTATGTTTCATGTCTTGTGTAGTTTATTGAAATAAATATTTGCTTTCACCACATGTGCCTGGATTATTACTTGATTATCAACAAAGCTGTGCCAGAGAAAAAAGAATTCACGTGCCTCTAGTTATACCAGCAGCTCAGGTATATGGTTAAAAATCACGTACAAGTTGGGGGTTATGAATAATTAATTCACTTATTGACTAAACCACTCGGTCAGTTCCTGATTTTCACCAGTTTCGTAACCCCCCATTTGTAACAATATAGTTCATGTTGGCATTTGACATTGGTCTCATCCTTTGTCGAGAACTACGGAACTTTTGACCAAGAGATTTTTTTACAAAACTCTTCTGGTTTGTGGACGTATTTCCCCTGTAGCAGAAGCTAAATTTCCTTCTTGTTCACCACACTGCCTTCCATCATCTCTTTTCTATTCTGCTGCCTCTTCCTTCTCTGTCAGTTCTTGCTGTTGGTGCCAATACCATTCAGCTCCTGCACAATATATTAAGTACTAATGCTGATATATCTGCTTTCGCAACAGCTTGAGAAGATCTGTTATCCAAGGTTTTTTCTTTGCAACATCAAAATTTGTTACAAAAATTAGATTTAGCTCTGCTTGGACGACTGGTGGAAGACCCTGTGAGCCTCTCAGTGGGGGAAGATTGAATGAACTGAAGCAAAACTACCAAAAATAAAGGTTTAAAACATAACTGACATTAAATTAAAATAAATATTAAAAAACTATGACCTGTCAACGAGAAAATATGCAGCGTTCTCTTCGATTCAAACACTATGAGTGATTTTCTCTATATTGTCAAAAAAACACACAAGCTTTCCTAATTTAAACCATCTGCTGCCTGTGATGCTCAAAAAGTTTTTTTTTTCCTTTTTGCCTTATCTTGGCCTTTACTGAAGCGTTTCTGTGGTACTATCTGAAAAAGAAATTAAGGAGCATTTAATTCAAAACTAGAGAAATCAAACAGAACTCAACACCTACTGTACCTCAGAAGAACAGCAGCGATTTACATCTACAGTACAACCACTTTTTTCATGTCCCCATCAGAGGTCAAATATTGTAATGGATGCTGTGTTTGTCAGGAAATATGAGTGCATTCCGTTGAACGACTCTATAAACGTTCGGGCTCCTGTATGTCCACTTTAGGGAAATATGGAGGTTTAACAAGGTTTTGTGGGGCTTGGTGTGGTAAACAGAGGCAGCACTACAGCAGAGTTAGCTAAAAAGCTAAAGTACATCTGTGGTCCCTGGGCAGCACACAACCAACAAAATAGGAAGAGAAGAGGAGTTTATGAGACACTGGGGGTCTTTCTAGAACAAATGGGACCTGTACAAGCAGGATGGGCTGCATCTGAAGCGGAGCAGTACCGATGTACTGGGGAAGTGGTACGTGTAGAATACTGGCAAGTATTTCAACTAGGGACCCCAGGGTCAGCGAGGTCAGGAAATCCCAGGGCAAGAATAAGAAAAACCTAACCCAAACAATTCGTTCATTCTTAACTGCTTATACTTCAATGTTAGAAGCACAAGCAACAAAATGCAAAAACCGAAGACGATTGACAGGGAACTATGACTTTTTAGGAGTAACTGCCACACAGCCAGGGAAGGAGGTTGGAAATATAAAAAGATATGAACCAAAAGGTCCAAAAGAAGAACTGTGTTACATCTAACATTATTGTCAGCGCATTAAACTGGGCGTCCTTACACTCTTTTTAAGCAATAATACTGTATATTAGGACAAAACGTTCTTCATAAAGAACCCCTTACTTAGGCCAAACGTACTGTAAGTTGCCTTTGCAATAATCTTTTAGGATTAGTTACTTGTCAGCTTTCAAATACATTGTTCAAGAACTTTTCAACTATATTGTGCTGTTTGTAATGCTGAAATTGGTCGTGCCAGCTAGTTAGCATGTGACATGACCGAGCTCACGTTCTCGAACCCACAGCACCTGAATCATGGAGTCAGCCTGCACTCAGGTGAGCACTGCTACTGGGCCACAGGTCACCACATGCTGTTTCAGTTCTTTCACCTTTCTGTACCTTCACGGTAGGTCCTCAGGCTTGGACTTCGGGTATTTTTCTATTGTAAAGTTCCTTGCATGGGGGCGTTAGCTGAGCAAATTGTAACGCTTCAGGGTTCAGGCGGGCACCTTTGCCGTTGCCGCTTATGGTCGGCCCCTCCACCGTCGGGGACGCGAACCCAGGCCTCCGGCGTCACTCAACAGGGACCCAGCCTGTTAAGCTAAAGAGAGATCTCCCCTCAGCCCAGCGGGTTTGGTCCTGCAATTACAGGGAAGGTCGGTGACATCACCGCTCTGGTAAGCCGGCTCTTACACACTCACCGGTGGCCATATGGTCCTCAGGCTTGGACGTCACTTATTTTTCTATTGTAGAGTACCTTGCATGGGGGCATCAGCTAAATAAATGATCAAAATCAGCAACGTCAGTGGAAGTCATAAAAACGTTTTTCCATTTTTGCATTTTGAAACAAAAAGTATTCTTTTGACTAGTTGGACAATAGGAACATCTACCACATGGATGGTGTCCCTGTGGAAAAGCACCAAGTAGTGTGTGAATTAAAAAAAAAAATCTTTGATATTTTTAGTTCATCTACAGTAAGCTGTCAGTTGGACGATCATGAAAAATATTGTTCACTGGTAATACAAGCCAATATCCCTGGATAATGTCTCTAATGTTGTACAACAAAGTAGTTCTTAAAGAAAAAGCTATTCTTGCCTGTATCAAACATTGTCTGTGCTCATTCAGCTGTTAATTTGAAAACTTTATCCACTTTCCTTTACCATTGTTTCTTTCCAGAAGTCTTTATTCATCTGTGTAATTAATCTTGCCTGATACAAAAGGCAGCACAAGCTAGAGAATCTTCTTGCAGGTAAATTTGCTTTCAAGGTTTTTGGATGGAAGTTGGAAGCACATATTTCTGTCTGTTTTATTTCTGCAGATCGTTCTTTTGAAATTAGCCTCCATCGATTTTCTTTTTTGGGGGGAGGGGGATTCCAGATGAGATATAGAGAACACCAATATTTCTGAGAATAAGTCATTCATCTTATAATTATAAACACATATGCATTTGCAACATCAGGGGCTGTAGTGCATTCCAAAGTTGTTCTTTGATCTGTAAATAAAAAGAATCTCAAAACAGAAAGAAACGAACCCGTGCCAATTGTACTATGAATTCAGAAGGAAGTAGTTGTGGCCTTGAAAGTGATTCCAGAGTCTTGTAAATTACGTCTATAGCTTCAGCCTGTGGATTATTCATGTAGAAAGATACAGAATCTAATGTATCTAATATAGGGACCACAGCACCATTTAATTTAAGAATTAAATCTAAAGAATCCTGAGAACAGTATATGATTGAAGCTGACATATGGTTTTAAGAAAATAATTTACATATCAAGATAAAGGCTCAAAAAGTGAACCATAACCAGATACAAAAAGAGAGCCAGAGGGAGTAACTAAACTTTATATTTTATATATATATATTTAGTGAAGTGTGTGTAATAGAAATTGTGTAACACGATCACTTTTTAAAAATAGAATATTCAGAGTAAGAAATGTATGTGTTTCTAAGATTTCCCCTTCAAACAAATTTAAACACTTTTTGGATCTCTTGTTGTGGAATTGGCCCATAAATTTGCATACTCATTTCTTCAAATTGTCTGATAATGTAATCCATATTCTGTCATT